ATCTTTGTTTGTATGTGGTGCTGGGGATCGAACCCGGGCCGCACGCATGCCAGGCGAGCGCGCTACCGCTTGAGCCACATCCCCAGCCCCCAATTCTTAAACAGTATTTTTTTAAAGCAGTTTTTCATTTTTGGCTTAGCTGGAAAAGCCCAGGAAAGATTTTGATTGGTCCTGCTTGGCTCACGTGACTTGCTAAACTAGTCACTGTGACCAGGGAGAGGGTAGCCTCTGGCCATGATTAGATCACATACCTAGCTTGTAACTGAAGACCCAACCTAAGACCTCCTATTTTTAAAAATTCCCCAAAGGAAAGCAGGGAAGAAAGTAGAAAACAGATTTTTAAAACATGCCCAAGAGGACAAAACTCTAGGTAAAGCTTCTGTTGTATTTGAACTACATGAATTTAAAGGATTTCTGTGGCTAATAGGCAAAAATGCAGTCATCAGCTGACCCAGAAAAGACTGTATGAGTCAGTCCAGCAGAGAAGAATATTAGTTGGATTTTTTGGAGAGAAGCAGCTGCTTTAGTTGTTGTAATCTCACAGTACGAATTAGATTTCTGATGTCTCTAGTAAATTCCTTTCCGACCAGGGGACCGAGCCCAGCTGGGCAGCCCACTGGTTCTAAACACTCCTCATTTCAATATTAGCCCTTCCTGTAGGCAGGAACCCCTTTGAATAAATTTTAGGGCCATTTTAGAATTTCTTCTTGTAAGTAGAATTAATAATCTTGCCAGATAATGCCTGCTCACCCCAGCCTTGAGTTACTCTGATAAAAGGGAGGCCTCCCCAAATGGAGGTCATGGTGCAGACATGAATGGATGTATAGAGTGGTGATGAAGTGAGGGTCCAGCCCTCACAAATGATGGCACCAGAGCTAGACCCCCTTGTGTGAGAACTGTTAGCTCCCTTCCTGACCCCAAAGTGAGGCTTCCGGGGACACTTGAGGTGCTGGACACCTGTTCCTTTCTCTTCTCAGCAGTGGGCAGAGTTCAGGCCYACTTCCTTCAGTGATTAAGTAATACGCTGGAGTTTGGCCTTAAAGTCTATATATGGGTCAAGATGAAAGGAGCCCTGATCGTGTATCTCAGGGTATTTCGTCCTRTTCCATTCCATATCCTGCCTTTTGCCAAGAGATGCTGGCATGTTCTGACAGGTGCTACAGGTCCAAAGAAAGTGCATTTCCATGTGTGCAACCCCCTGCCTCTTTCTTTGTAAGTAGGAAAGAAATATTCATCTATGCCCCTTGTGACTATCTAGTTTATGTTCCAGATAGTGGATAAAGGTTTAAAAAAAAAAAAAAAGAAAGAAACACTACAAGAGATATACAGTTGGAAGCAGATCAATTTTTCCTGTCTCCAAGATTTATGGCAGTTTTTCTGTTGCATAAATAAGTTACTCTGTTATTTATAGTTACCCATTACCTTTCCTAGCTTTTCCAGTCACAGTCTTCTGGTAGAGCTGTCCAGAAGGCATCCTCAGCACATACCCTGGTTTAATCCTGACTCAGAGACTCRGCTAGCAGGGTGGCCTTTCCAATGTCTTAAGTGATGACTCTTCAGGTTTTCTCTCATAATGTCTCATAAACCTSTTCAGCTAATTTTTCATTCTGAGTATATAAAATCATAATGGTGATAAAGTAATAATAGTGAAAGAGAAAAAGGACTGAATGTAATTATTAATGAAATAATAAATAGCACAGGAAAGTAAAACTCTGAAGTTACACATTTGATTCAGTATTAAAGTTAGAAGCAAAATTTAATCATTACTCATTACCTATATAGCAAAGAAGCCTAGTCACCAGGAACATTCAAGTTCCCTTTAAAAACATTCATTTCATCTCATTATAAAAKTATATAATAAAAATTTTAATATAAGAGCAAAAGGGGGGAAAAATAACCTATGTTCCCACAAATCATCTGCGTTAACAATCTAATCCAGCATTTTGGCTCTTCCCATTAGTCTCTGTTTTATAAAATTTTGTGAGGACAATGGCTAATCACCCATGCTTATTTCTGCATTTAAGTTAGTGTTTAATATGTAGGTAGCTTTAGTTTATTATATAATGAAACTAAGTGTCAGTTCCAATTGAAAATTCAAGGTTGAGTTCTGTACTTGAAGTGTAATCTAAAACTTGACATTGACATTTTACTGTAGAAGAAAAATGTCACATGTCTAGTACCAAATCAAGGAATAAGAAATTAAAAAATTAAAATTTGATTTTCAAGTATTTGTGTTTTTCTATTGGCATTTTCTAATTAAATTTAAATTATAATTTATATTTATCAAATAATAGTATAATCATCTAGCATAATAGCCCAAATTCACACAGATTATTTAACCATCTCCCAGTTGTTGGATATTTAATGTTGTTGCAAGTGTTTCACAGTGATAAGTAACTTGCTATAAAAAATATCTGTATGTATTATTGGGTTTTTGTTGGGTATTTTTTTGGTACTGGGGATTGAATCCAGGGTGCTTGCTTAACCACTGAGCCACATCCCCACCTCTTTTTATGTTTTATTTTGAGACAAGAGTCTCACTGAGTTACYTAGGGCCTCATTAGGTTTCTTGAGACTGGCTTTGAACTTGTTATCCTCCTGCTTCAGCCCCCCAAGTTGCTGGGATTACAGGCATGCACCACCACTCCCGGCAAGGTTCTCTTCTTTTTGAATGATATCCCTGAGGTAAAYTCTCAGAACTGGCACTTGTTTGGTCAAAGGGTATAATCATTTTTGTATTTTACATATTTTAAAGGTGAATCATGACACTAAAAATGTGTTCTACAACATAAACTCAGTAGTAAGAGTACAGTAGGTTTGTCATTAAATTTCTAAGCCAAATTCAGGTATTAAGATAGTCTTCCTTTATTCGGAAGGTAATGATCACTTCTTGTGTACATCAAGGATAAYCCCGAACAGGAATTACACAGCAGCCACATATCCTTCATGATAGTCTTCTAGTCCTCAAATTGTTTCCTTCCCTGAAGTCAAGTATTATTCRTACCTACTATAAATAATACACGGTGTCTGATTTTTATAGATATTCTTAAAATTTAATGCAAGGATTAAAACAATGGGACTTTGACTCAATATAGTTCTTTAGGGAGAACCATTTTTGGCTCCAGAATCTTTCTGCACTTGGATTTACTATTGTTAATTTTTAYTAACATCTTGGATTTACTATTGTTAGTATGACGATTTAGGAAAATGAGAATTTGAATTATCCATTAATTTATTTTTCTACTTATTCTCAAGGTTTGCAAGTTACAGCATGAAGATGGAATGCATGAATCATTACTGAGTGATTTGGAAACAAAAAAAAATACATTTTAACAACCATAACCAAGATTCAGTATCAACTGTGGTACACTGACAGCTATTTGTGTGTGTGTGTATGTGTGTGTGTGTGTGTTTTTTTTAATTTTCTAAACATGGAGAACAGCAAACATCCATGCCAGTGGACTGAAATCTACCTTGATGACTTGCTGTCACTGCAGGAAGGGCACAGATAGAGCACAGCTCACAAACAATAAGTCAGGCTCTCTGTGACAATGATTGTCAAACTTTTTTGACCATAACCTAGAATAAAAATAAGGATTACACCACAGTTCAATATATATTTAATCCATCATATGTGTGCATTATGTATGTGTGTAATTGTGTGTATATGTGTGTGTGTGTTGCACACTCACACACATATCAGGTACTATAAGATATGGACCTTACATATTATGTACTGTGATTTTCTTCTATTTTTAATTTTTGTTAATATTGATTTTAACCTATAGTTTGTAAAATGCTGCTTTCTACCATCCCATAGCAACACTCACCATCTTCAGAAAATAGCTTTACTAGGAGTAGCAGTCAAATTGACTACATCAGTGATTTACTATAGTACTGGAGTTTTTATGATTTGTTGTGATGAGGGTTTTTTTTTTCTCTCTTGAGTCCAATGCCATTATATGAGTCTCTACCATGTGTGAGACTTTGATACAAATAACATTAGACACAAGGTATTAATATAGTGTATTCAACCTTGATTCAAATAAAGGAAATTTCCTTTGTAGGACCATTGGTCTAAAATCACAAAAGTCAGCCATTATTTCAATTGTATGCAATTCAGGGGCCTTTATTTAAAAAGCACAGGTGAGAAATGAGAATTGTATGATGTCTTGATGCCTCTTTCAGTGCTGGAATTTAAATTGTGTACTGATCAACCTTTTGTTTATCAATAATAACCACATTGCCATCACTGTATCAGTCTTTATAAAATATATTATTACGTTGACTCATTTGATCAGCTCTCAATTATTTCAAACTAGGTTGCACTCCTGAAGATAGGGGGGCTTTTTTGAATTTCCTGCRTGCTACAAAAACTACAAAACAAAATTTGGGCTCAAGTTACAGTTTATCCACTTAGTAGCTATATACCTTTTGTCAAGCTATTCAATCTTGGTTTTCTCTTTTAAGATGGGAATATCAGCAATACTTTGTATGGTTGTAAGGTAAGCTAAGGATTAAGTTTGATATCCTTAATATGACATCAAGGCTTTCTCTGATCTAGCTATTGAGCACCTCTCTACCCTTATTTCCCAGAACTGGRAATATCGTCACCAGTCACTGCACAGGAGACTGAAGAAGATGTCAGGACATGTTCAGACCAGGCATGGTGCATTCATTGCCTTGGAAAGTTGTCACAGGACAAAATCAAGGGTTTTTTAGTGAGAAAAGAAGAAATAGCTACCAAAAGTGTATACTACAACTTTTTTTGTGCATGAATTTATCAAACTTGAGTTATTGTGATTTCTATTATTAATATAATAGTTTTTGTTGTTGTTTTTTGGATAAAAGCATATATATGATTATTCCAACTTCATTTCTAAGAATTTCTGAAATGACTTCTCCCCCTGTACCCTACAGAGACATGGACCTGCTGATGGAGAATCATTACATTTGTCTTTTCTCCCTGTTTGAACTTGTGAAAATAATAGGCCAGAGAAGGTCTATCTTGCAGGGAAGGATAACAACAGGCATTGTAAACAGAAGCACTTTGGAAAGACATACGATAATCTTCTTTCTGTTGTTAGTGAGAAATAAATCAGAAATTTGAAATAGAATTCCAGTGCTTCATTTCTGTATTCACTGTTTCACATACAGCTACTCTTCATCAAAGAAGTTAATGATGACATTGAAACTAAAATATATGTATATATATATATCTCCAAAATTTGACAAGGAGCAAATCTGCTAAGTCTTCCCTATCTATTCATAAATAACTTCAGTCCTTTTAGGATGAATTTGCTGTGGGGGTTTATTGTGCTTAGTATTAAACACAGGGAGCGATTAAAAGACACACAGACTATTGTAATTAAAGTTGAGATTCAGGTGCCTGCTCGGTCATGCTAATGGATGAGATTCAAGTCCTCCAGTTTGCCATTTAAGGATAAGCKTGTGATATTACATAGAAATATAAAATACTGGAGCAGTATCAGCTGCTCCAGTGCTGTTTCTCAGTATGGAAATTGAAACCAGAGTGCCTAACCTGTCCAACACCAGGCAGCTAGCTAGGGTGGGCCCAGGGCCGGGCCACAATCCCAGCACCACACAGGCATGGGYGTACATTTTTTATTTTAGAGCAAATAACAGCAGAAAAATAGCCTGCTAAGATGCATCATCTCCTATTCCTTCTCTTTTTAAGAGAGCAAATGAAGGAGCCTGAAAAGGCAAGAGCTGTATCAGGGAAAAATGAAGCTTTCTATTCTGGCTTTTTGGAGCTTAGTTGGAAGCARGCCAACTCATGAGGTTACTGTGAGGAAGGAGCAGTGGTGAGCTGCTGGAGCTCCAGGGCACACTGCTTGTGCTGACCTTAGGTTTGTGGCTGTAACTGTTCTYTCAATGCTCCATCAGTGGTGGATTGGCATTACTCTTCCAGTTCTGTGTTCACACACAAATAAAGGAGAATTGCAATAGCAGATTTGGGGCACTGACCAGGGTAGAATGACCTACAAATAAGAGAACATCAAAAACAGAATATCTTTGACTTAAGAGCAAGGTCTGGGGTAGGGGCCACAGGCACCACATCTGGTCGCAGCAGTTTCAAGAAGCCCCTGAAACAGCCCAAGAAATAGGCCAAGGAGATGCATGAGGAAGATAAAGCTTCCAAGCAGAAACAGAGGAGCAGAATGAACTAAAAGCAAAGGGCACAGGGAAGAACCCTTTGACCACAGGTAGAATTTTAAAAATTTGGCAAAAAAACAAGCTATTCCTGATGCCTGAGATGGAGAACATTGATTCCATTCCGTTTTAGAACACTAGGATCCCTGCTATATATAACATCTTTTGCTGCCTAGAGCTAGAATGAAGTGTTTTGTTGGAGTCTGTTGTAAGAATAAACTTTTGTTAAGAAAAGATAGCAAGGCCAGTYACAAGGTGCACACCTATAATCCCAGTGACTCAGGAGGCTGAGGCAGAAGGATCACAAGTTCTAGGCCAGCCTTGGCACCCTAATGAGGTTCTAAGCAACTGTCTCAAAAAATAAAAAGAGCTGGGGATATGGCTCAGTGRCAAAGTGCCCCTGGGGTTCAGTCCAGTACCACCCCCAAAAGTCTTACCAAAGTAAACATATAAGATGTGTTCATGCCTGTGAGTCAAAAAGCATGTCATCRGTGCAGGAGTATAGACAAAATATGCTGCATTTCCAGATGCTAGAGAAAACAGTTATCTTCTTTAGGATTAAAAATAGATTCCKGGCACAGTGATGCACACCCGTAATCCCAGCAACTTGAGAGGCTGAGATAGGAGGATGGCAAGTTCAAAACCAGCCTCAGCAACTTAATGAGCCTCTAAGCAACTAAGCAGAACCCTGTCTCAAAACAAAAAGAAAATATTTTTTAAAGGGGCTGGGATATATCTCTAGTTAAGAACCCCTGGGTTCAATCCCCAGTACCAAAAAGAGAAAAAAAAAACGATTAAAAATAGACACAAAAAATTTATGAAAAATAACTCCCTGTTGACTCTTCTCCATTTTTGTACAAGCAAATCCCTGGAATTTCATGCTTTTAGCAGTGGTTCCCAAACCTTTGTGTGTATCAAAATCACTTAGAAGTCTTGTTAAAACATAGATTACACAGGATATGGGTGGCACATGCCTATAATCCAGCAACTCCAGAGGCTGAGACAGGATGATCACAAGTTTGGGGCCAGCCTTGGCAATTATGGAGGCCCTCAGCACTTTCATGAAATCCTGTCTCAAAAATAAAAAAGGTTGGGGATGTGACTCAGTGGTTAAGCACCCCTGGGTTCAATCCATAGTACCCCTGCCCCCCCAAAAAAACAAACATACTTTGCTGATCCTATCCCCAATCCCAGAATTTCTGATTCTGCAGGTTTGGGGTAAGGTGTTAGAAGTGGCATTTCTAACACAGTTATAGGTGATGTTGATATTGATGCTCAGCCACCACCTTTGAGAATTCCGGCTCTCCAATAGACAAATAGCATCCTRTAGATCTAGAAGAGCTCACACTAGTGTTATGTGGACACTAAAAGCTAGAAATTATTTGTCTTAGCCCCTAACTTAATGCAGAATCACCTCTTATGCTTCTTATTGATTCAGTATTAACTTTTAGTTCCAAATACTCCCCTTTTTGCCTAACCTATGAAAATGTAGCTGGGCCCTGTAAATATTTTTCCTTTGTAAAGTGGTATGATGTTAAGTTTTGTCAGTAGAGGGTGCTGGGGRAAAAGGAGGAAAAGGTCTTACTTTTTGATTCCTTCGTGTTTTCTTGCTAGTTGCCTGTAGCAAGCATGACTTCTTCAGGTTTTAACTCCAAGGATGTAGGCCACAGACCCCCAGGGCCAGCAGCTGTAGTGGAGTGCCTCCTGAGAGATACCTGAGCACTTTTCCATGGTACCCTAAGAGGGTAGATTTTCCCCATATTCCAGAGAATGGAATTTTACCAGAGCTACTTACCTACCATTCAGTGATCCATGGCAGTGCCATCTCCAACAAGGCCTGGTTTTCTTTATTGAAGGCAAGTCAGGCAAATGGGGAGGCTCTTGGGTGATCACTCTTCTTATCCTTGGAGGGTGAGGCAGTTTCTTTTTTGCCTTCTATAGAGTTTTCTTTACTTCTTACTAGCCAAGGCTTTGTTTATGTTTTTATTTATGTAACAAATATCTAATTATATTTATTAAATCACTTATGTGTGTTTATGTTTTATATTTTTTATATTTTATACATTATACATATACTTACATAAATATATTGGAAATATTTTATATAGTTATGTATTTTATTATCTGTTTATTACTGAATTTATATAAATACAATTACTTATTGGATTTGTAAAATCGTATTTACTTTATATAAAGAATTCATATAATTCTAGCCAGGTTCAGTGGTGCACACATGTTAATCCCAGCACCTTGKGAGACTGAAGCAGGATGACCACAAGTTCAAGACCAGCCTGGAATACTTAGCAAGACCATGTTTCAAAATAAAAATCAAAAAAGGGCTGGGGATGTAGGTCAGTAGTAAGTAGCCCTGGGTAAAATCCCCAGAATCACACAAAAATAACAACAATAATAACTCTTCATATTGACTTTTCCTGTTCACATCATTAGGTGGCTTCTCTCTTCTGATTAGACTTAATTAATATAAAGATGAATCGGGGCAACTATATGGCTGCATTTTCTTTATTTCTGTTTTTCTAAGCTTTGCCATTTTTTATTGCTGCAATACCATGAATCTGCCATTTACCTATAGAATAAAAACATTTGGGCCAATCAAAAATACCACAGTAAGAATTGGAGACAGAGCATTTCCCTACGCAAAGCCCTGGGTTCCATCCCCAGCATTGCACAAAGTAACAAGGATGCAGTCCAGTAATTTCAGCTTACCATACCTTTTTGTACATCAGACTTTCTGTGGGTTTTCTGAGGACATCKTGGGATTCAATTTCACAGAACTGTCTTTCAGCCAAAGAAGGTTGACTTTTTGAATCCAGCACTTCAGATTAATTCTTAAACATGATACGCCTTTTTAAACATGATCTACCATCTATTAGTCTGAAGGTTATACAGAAGAACTTTCTTAAAACCTCAAAGGGACCACAAGACAACAGGAATATAATTTCCAACAATGCTGCTGCTGTAATGTTCTTTAAAGTCTCAGAGTCCAGTGCTAGGCTGATTTTGTGAGAATGTGGACTTCCACCTAGGGGCCTGCAAGTTTACAATAATAACCAGCTTTTATTAAACACCTACCCTGTGATAGGGACTACATCTAAGGCTGCCAAGAAGTTTTTCTAAAACTTGGAAATAGGCAAAAGGGAATTCTCCATGTCCTGTTGGGGGTTATATGAACACACTTCAGCCCACTCACCAGAGTGTTATCCAGTGCTCTAGGAGTCTGTACCTTTGTTTGACTCTGTATTTTTCTCTTGATTAGAATATTTTAAATCTTATAAGGCTAGATGTTAACTTCTGGAAACTGATAGCTAGGGTGTCTCAACCTCAGCACTACTGACACTTGGGGCTAGATGACTYTTTTGTGGGTGGCTGTCCTGTACATTCAAGAATAATTATCCCTGTTCTCTAATAAATAGATGCCACTGGGTACCCCCTCCAGTTGTGACAACTAAAAATGTCTTCAAACATTGCCAAATGTCCCTTGAGAATAAAATTACTCTCACTTGATGACAACTGCTGATAGTGATGCTAATTGAATTTACTCTTTAGAGATGCAAATGATTTTTCTATTAAAAAACGATGACATTAGTTAACATTAAAGGTGAGACTCAGTGCCTTTAGGCTTCTCCCCTGCATCCCTCCAACAGCCAACAGCCGCCCAGTAAAAATGGCCTCAGGTGTGCAAGTGGCTGATGGAGTATGTCGCATTTTTCATGACATGAAAGTTCGGAAGTGCTCCACCCCAGAAGAAATCAGGAAAAGAAAGAAGGCTGTCATTATTTTTGTCTCTGCAGAGAAAAAAGTGCATCATTGTTGAAGAAGGCAAAGAGATCTTGGTTGGAGATGTTGGTGTTACCATAACCGATCCTTTCAAGCATTTTATGGGAATGCTTCCTGAAAAAG